AGTGAATTTTTACAACAAATTATTGAGAAATGAGTGCAGTATACCTGATAGTTGGAGGACGCAGCTGGTTGTTCCAATATTAAAACCGTTTAGGGATCCTAATCTTCTTAGTTCTTATAGGCCGATTAATTTGTCGTCTATATTCGGTAAAGTGTTGGAGTCGATATTAAAGTGCCGAGTAGAGTGGTTTCTTGAACATAACAGATTGTTATCAGAATCCCAAACCGGTTTTAGGCGCGGTAAGTCCGTTATGGATAATGTTTCCATCATAACAAGTCATATTTTGTGTGCTCAGAGCAAAAGTGTTCCTGCTGTTATGGTTGCATTGGATATTGTGGGTGCTTATGATAATGTCAACATCCCCATGCTAATAAAAGACATGGAGAAGCAGGGTATACCTAGGGATACTATAGGGTTAATCAATCGACTCCTCCTCAATAGGAACCTATTTGTTAAGGATGCTGTTGGGCAACTTTTGGTCGGACCTAGATCAACCAGAAAGGGGGTCCCTCAGGGATCTCCCTTAGCGCCTCTTTTATTTAATATATACGTAAATTCAATTAAGCTAGTAATTCCTCCTAGGGTTTTTATTATCCAGTATGCGGATGATATTGTCCTTTTTTGTAGCGATGTCAATATCCTTTTTGCTATAGGCTTGATAAATAGAGCCTTGGTGGCAGTGGCTGATTGGATGCATAGGTTTAACTTGCAGCTTAATCCGCAAAAGTCGTCTGCTATTCTATTCTCTAGATCTGCTCTGGTCGGACTTCCTGACGTAATTAATAGTGCAAATATTCCTTGGAAAAATGAAATTAGGTACCTGGGAGTTACATTTGATGCTAAGCTTACGTGGGTTCCCCAGGTTGGCAAGATGATCCATAAGGCAGCTAGTGGAATTAATGTTATGAGATTTCTATCCAGGACATGTTGGGGAGCCCATCCGTCTACTCTTTTGATATTTTATAAAGCTTTTGTGCGTTCCCATCTCGATTATGGTTCTATGGTACTGGGGTGCTGCGGGAAAAAACCCTGTCTGGTCTGGAAACAAGTTTGAAGGTGAGGAGGATTATGTTGGCTTATAAGTTTTTAGTCAAGTCCCTTAGAATTATAAATAATCCCAGTTTCTTAGCTACCCAGTGGCTATATATTGCCTATCAAGAAAATCATAACTTTTTTAGAAGGAAGGCGAAATTACCCTTAGTTGAGGCATTTGACTACACCGCCACATATCATAATATTATTGATAGTGGAGACGTTCTAGCGTGTTTTAATAATGACCTGGCCCCCCAGCTTACGCCTATTAATTTTGTTGATGCCAAACTTGTATAAATAAAACTGAGTTTCGGGAATTTTGTTTCAAAATGTGGACCTGGGAAGAGACATTTATATTTACCGATGCTTCTAAGGGACCAGATGATGGAGTTGGCTTTCGAGTATTTATTCCGTCTCTCAATGTTAGGGTCGGGCATGGGTTAAATAGCGCATTTTGTATTTGCTCTGCAGAAATGGTAGCTATTGGTTGCGCCCTAGATCTTATATTAGATTATAATATTAAACAGGCAGTAATTGTGTCCGATTCCAAAAGTGCCCTGCAGAGCTTCGGATGCAGTGCGGTTGAAGCCTCCAACAGCTACATTCTACTAGATATTAAAGCAAAGATTGATATTTTGAAGCGCAGACTTGGGCGGAAAATATCGTTATGCTGGATTCCAAGTCATTCTGGGATAAGACATAATGAAACGGTGGATAGAATACCCTCAGAAGCTAGACTTTTAGACCCGCTGAATTTAAGGCCCCCTTTCAGTGAATTTATCCCGATAATTAGAGCAAAGATGTGGCATATCTGGACCAGCAAGTGGAAGGATTGGGGTCGTTCAAAGGGCAGACTTTATAGTACAGCTTATAAGGCCCCTGCAACAGTTCCATGGTTCCATAAATTGCAGCTGTCTAGAAAGGAGATTACAGCAGTGTGCAGAATGAGGAGTAATCATTGTAGTTCCCCAGCACATCTTTACAAGATAAACGTAAAACCATCTAACCTGTGTGCTTGTGGAGAGGTGGGAGATATTGAACATATTTTGTTTGATTGTGCTCTGCATCGGAATAACTCCCAAATTTTGTATGCCGCTCTCATTGATGCTAGCTTACCTGCTCCTATTAGTGCTTTTTCTGCACTTTTTCACCCTGGATGTATGGATTTTGTTGCACGACTTGTGGTTAGATTGCTTGATGCATGTGGTATTTGCTTATAACTGCTTTTGGATTTGCTAGCTCATGGTTCATGGGTTGGTTTTAATCATTATGTATATTAGCTAGAATTTCAAAGAAGAACTCCTTCGCTGGAGAAGATCCGAAAACCCTCGACATTTAGAACTTCTGAGATTAGTCTCCTTCGCTGGAGAAGATCCGAAAATCCTCGACATTTGGAACTTTAAAGTTTAGTCTCCTTCGCTGGAGAAGATCCGACAATCCTCGACATTTTGAACTTCAAAAATCAGTCTCCTTCGCTAGAGAAGATCCGAAAATCCTCGACATTTAGAACTTCAAAATTTAACCTCCTTCCTGCAGAAGATCCGAAAATCCTCGACGAAAGTCGGCAATGGGCGAATGATCCTGGTAGTCTTGCCCAACAGTTTTTTGTGAAACGCATCATTGAATTGAATTGTAGTGCTACAAAACAAGGCGATCAAAATATTATAGTATAGCAATAAATGCGGTAATACTATATTATGCAACAATTGAAAATAATAAATTATCGAATTACTAAATTTAGTACCATTCAAACAAAATATTTACTAGTTGCCATTAAACCTAATCGTTTATCGTTTCGATCGGTTCCGCTATTGTTGTCTCTTTTTAACTATGTACGTTAGACAGAAAGAGATGTATATCTGGATATGTCATATAAACAACGTAATTAACACAATTTTAAAACGGTATGTTGTTTATTTAACCTTTACAATTAATCATTAAGTAGTTTATTTAAAGGAAAAGACTGTAATTGGAAGAAAAATCATCCAAAGATAGAGCCTTAAGAGGATTAAGCTTTTAAGATCGTATAAGCCAGAAAAAGCAGGTCCTAACCTTCATGCAAACTGTATGTAAAATTTCTGCGGGAAACTTAAATTATAAATGTCACTTTACTTGCCGACTAGTCCACTAGATTTTAATTGTAGCTTATAACAAATAGTATTTAAATTGTCTGAAGTATTGCATAACATTTTTCTGTGTATTAGTTTTTGAGTACATTTTTGCAAAACAACACCAATACATTCACTGACTTGACCGTCATAATTGATAGACGGCAATATTCAAACCGTGCGGTAAAATTCCAGAAATGTCCGAAGTGGCTAGGATCCGTGCGAAACGAAACATCGTAGTAAAGTGACGCTTCCCGCACTCTAGATCGGTGTGTAATTAGACATTTTACAGACGGGAGTAGAAAATAGTATATTATGCAACAAGTGCGGTAAATGGCATTTGATTCATGAGTTTATTTGACACGAGCGAACGTGTAGCATACTATACTTTTTCTACGACTGTTAGTTTTTGGGTACATTTTCGCCAAACAACACGAATACATTCACTGACATGAATGTCAGAATTGGCAAATGTCAAAATTCAAAGCATGGGAAATATCTCCGAAAACATCCGATTGCTTCCAAATCCGTGCGGTAAAATCCCGAAAATGTCCGAAATGGTTCGGATTCATGGGAAACGAAACTGAGGTGGTGAAGTGACGCTTCCCGCACGCTAGATCGGTGGATAGTTAGGTATTTTACAGACGGGAGTAGAAAAAATCTGGGAAATGTCCGAAGTGGTTTGGATCCGTGGGAAACGAAACTGACGTGGTAAAATGCCGCATTCTGCATGCTAGATCTGTGTGTAATTAGGTATTTGACAGACGGGAGTAGAAAGATATCTATGTTACGCTTTCGACGTCCAACCACTCCCATGATCCACAAACATTTTAAATATTGACTTGCCTTCTCGCTTTACATTAATGGCTTATTTTTTCGAAATATTTCATAAAATATGGTTTTTAAATATGTAGAGGATAACATAGTATAACAATTGTGATTGCATATGCACTATACTAAATAACGGAGTAATATTACTATTAAACATATTGTTTTCTTCATTCTTCAGCATTCATTTTCGTCATTGTTTTCATTTTAACGCACAAACATGTTGACGGCTACGACAATATTGCCAATGCTTGTTTCTTTTATCGATACACTTATATAGCTATAAGATAATATAGTGAACCCACTAGGGTAAAAATTGATGCGCCGCAGGCACTAACCTACAATTAGCACCATTTTGTTTCAAAACACCGATTTCCACACACGTTCCTTGTTTTCTCAGATCCTTTAACGAGAGCTAGGCATTTTTTGGGAAAATATTTGACCATCTCTCAGCGTTCATTGGTTAAAAAAGAGATTTCAGATCTCTCGCATGCACATGTTCAAAGGACCTTCTCAATTTTTTGTTCATAGTTGTTTAATCAGTTCCTGTATTATCGGCATAGGCATGGCCATTATATCTCAATAGATATATGGATACATCATACTCAGAATAATATTTTTTTGTCTTGCTGATATTTCGTTAGGCATCACCCAACAAATCAAATATTTTTTTTTTAACAAAAGGTACGATATGGCCTGTAAAACATTGTTCTTTAAATGTAACGTTACAACACCGACGAAGGGTAGTTTTTAATTTCGATTTCTCGATAATTCTACTTTGTTTTTCTGAATGTATTGGTCATAATTCATACATTGCTATTTTTCGTCGTAAAAATTGTTGGCGCTGCATAATAGTAACTCAAAGACCATCAAAAATGAGTTACTATAATCTTCTTTGCACGAGTCCATATAAATTTGACTATAGTACAAATCGAATTTTAGGAATATATTTAGTCGCTTCATTGAATTTTGACTTCCAACTTCACCAAACAATGTTATTAAAAATAATAAATTAAAAAAAAAAAAAAGAAATTAGCAGGTCGTTTTTTTTATTAAACAATTAAATTACATCTTAATTTATTCATTTTCCTGGCTGCGAAGCCTGGCGTGTCCGTTTGTTAACCTTATGCTCAACTGTTGGGCACGCTCCACAATCTCTTTGCGTTTCCTGGCGGACACGCCGTGAGCAATTTCGCCGCAATATTTGCGGTTCTGCATCATCAGAACTTCGAGTTCCTGCAACCGAAAAGTCAAATCAATTTCAAAAAGCTTCATGCCAACCTGAACGGGATGTTTGCACTGGTTCTCAGCGAAAGTTAACAACACGTCGCAATTCAGTCGCAAATTACCTCAAAACATCATGGAAAGTTAAAAATTTCATTTCATAATTACTTTAAATCCCCGCACTTACTTTAACGTTGTGGACCAAGACTTTTCTGAATCCCGTCGGCAACATGTGACGAGTTTTCGCTGCGGAACCGTAGCCGATATTGGGCATCAAATATTGACCCTTGAATCGCCTCCTTACCCTATTGTCAATGCCCTTCGGCTTACGCCAATTGCGCTAAAACCACAACTATCGTAAAACTTTGAGGTTATGTCGCACTATTTACAATAACAAAAAAAAATATGCATTTAAGTTTTTAACTCGTACCTTTAGCTTTGCGTAGCGGTCGGACTGATGCCTGATGAACTTTTTAGTCCGTTTCTTAACAATTTGAGGCCTATACACCGGTCTTATGGCCATCTTGAACCTTAAAAAAGCGCCCGATTTAGTTAAGCGAACATTTGATATTGTTGCAAAAATATGAACAAAACAAGATATGCTCCGAACTGAAATCAACACTGGTAAAATCAATAGTTGTAAATAATTACCGATCGCTTTAAAATCTACGGATTTTCTTGCGCGTTCAAAATTTTTAACACGCCAAAGAAGGAACTGTCAAAGAGAGGTACCTAAGTTCATTTTGTAGTAACAAATGGCATCAATTGGCCAGTGTCACGCGAGATTTCGCCCATCGCGTGATTACGAGAATAGAGTTCTTTATTAATTTTACAATATTATATTTCCGATAATCATACATCTGATCATTCAAATTCGGTAAACTGCTATCTTCGTCACTAAAATATGAGCTTCTTTTAATTTTCGTTTTCACTGTATGAGCCAGCGAACTACCTTAAACTTGTATTCTTCCAACCTTAAGAAACCCTTTATTTAATTATGCAAATATTTGAGTTTATTAAAAACTATGAAATAAATACTTGCAAATAATTATCGATCACTTTAAAATATATGGATTTTCTTGAGGATTAAAAAATTTTGAAATTTCAATAAGGCAACTGTCAACAAAATTTCAATATGTTAAGCTGGCCAAATGTGATATGGGCTTTCGCTCATCGAATGATACACGAATTAGTTTTTAATAATTATATTTCGGATAATTACACATCCGATTAACAAAATTCCGCTAGTCGCTATCTTCTTCGTCGCTAAAATACGAACTTTTCTTAATCTTCCTCTTTGTATCTATTTCCGCATGTGCGCTTTCACCATATGAGCCCGTGGCTACCTTCAACCTGTATTCTTCCAGTTCGTGCTTGGCTTGCTGCCAAAAAATAATAAAATTTAATCTTTTGCGTAATTATTTATACAAAAGTTAGGGCACCCACCTCCATTTTTATGGCTGCACTCAATGTTTCTTCATCGCCTATTTCTTTCAATTCCTCATCTGAGCTATTGAAGTACTGAGCTTCCTCCTAAAACACACTTATTTTTATAGCAAATAATATCATACAACAAAATAACTGCACACCTCCGTAAGTTGTCTTTTCTCTCGATTCTTCTTTCTGACTCTGACTTTTTTGGGAGGCGGGTCTCTTTCTCCAAGTAGATTTTCTTCGCACTTGTAGCTCAAATGACCCAATTCACCGCATTCGTAACACCTTGTTTTGTCTGGGTAATCCTAAAAAACGAATTGATTGTGCTACCTCACCAAAACCAACTCCACACATACTTTCCGTCTAATAAATTCCGTCGCTCGACCGTTATCTTTCGCTATACTCGCTTTTAGAACGCGACCAAACATCTATTACATTTAAATATTACATCTACATATTAGGAGAAACCCACAGTACCTCTGTGTCGTTAGCTCCGCGGACGCAGCTTCTCGCGTCCTCCATTTTATGAAACAGGATGAAAGCTACGCCTTTGCTTTTGCGAGTGGTTCTATCCTTTAATACAGTCACTCTGCCACAGAAATCGGGTTAAAAAGTAAGGACATGTTCGTTGGGATAGAACTTACTTGACGATTTTTCCGTATTTTTCGAATAATTTATGAAGATCGTTGTTTTTTAAGGCGAAAGGTAAGTTGGACAAGTACACGGTGCTTTTGCTGGGCGCGAGCCGGCCACTCATAATTTCAGTAAAATTTAAAAAATACGAGAAAATCAGAAAAGTGCGGTTATTCTTCTTAGCAATTTTATTATTGGTACATAACCAGTCGATTTAAATGTCTAACCCCGATCAAGTACGTTCCGTTGCGGTTTTTTGCAATCATGTTACAAAAATTTGATGCTACGGAAATTTTTTTTTACATTGCACATATACCAATGGACAATTCTGCTTCCTATGGGCCCATCTACTATATGGGTTAGTTGAAGTACAATTTACTAATCTAAATTCCTCCTACGTTGGTTGTTGATGAATAGAACTTCTGACGTTTAGCCAGTTTCGCCAGAGTTCTTCAGAGCTTAACAGAAACCGCTGCTGTGCAAAACAGCAGAAGATTAGTAAATAGTATTCCAGTAACCTGTGGAAGTTTCTTAAAAAAGTTGAAGGATTACCCCATTATATTTTAATGACAAATATAAAAAGTTTTCCTTGTCCTTGTCGCAAATTCTTTTTCGCGTAGACTTGTAGATCGTCCTCTTGTTTAATTTTGGTTATTCCTTGCATCGCGGGATGAATGTAACGTATATAAAAAATAAGCTAAATAAGCTATATTGTCTTTTTTACTATTGTTTGTCAACCATGTCGGAGTGGGGTCAAACGGCAACACAATTTTTAATCGTAAAATACGTTTTGTTCTACTAGCTTGAAGTGATTTTTTTATATTCAGTCCTGCAAAAATTTAGTAAAGTCCACCTTTACATTTCTCGCTTTAATAAAAAATATAAAATATTTCGATTACATTAAATTAATAACTAAATTATAATTGACATCAACTCTTCGCGTCGTCCTTGTCGTTGTCTTTATCGCCATCATAGAATTCGTTTTTCGCTTCCACCATTCTGTCTTCGAGTTCCTGACTGACGCGGACGTCCGGGTCCTCTTCTTCTTTAATTTTTGCTTCGTCAGCGATGGCGGGGCCGGGTGCCTCGTGCATCTGCACGCTGGGCGCGTGCTGGCATGTCTTTAGATTGTCGTAAACGAACCTAAAGAGCGGTTTATACAAATTAATGATTGAAATCTTCTATTAATCAGCTTAAAAAGAGACAGGAATAAGAAATTAATGCTTCCAACAACTCACTTATTTTTAGGAAAAAAAAAAATTAATAACAAATTGGAATTGTTGGAGAAGAAATGTTAGTACAGTTTTGTACATGTAGGTTAAAAGTTAAGAGAAAAGGAAGTGTTACGTATAAATGAAAGTTTCCTTCTCATAAATAAAAAGTACAAACCAACAAACAAGTTGTCTAATAACACAAGAAAACAACAAACACTAAAGAAAAGCAGACAACCATAGAAATGATTCTAGACCAATATGACTTACAAGGAGGTATAAACCAGATTGAAGTAGAAATAGTGGAAGTGGAACAAACAAAGGAATTGAGGAAGGCACATGAAATACTAATTCATAAAATTTTGAAGAATGTATACTTACAAAACACAAGCAGAGGCAGAACAGACATTAAATCGATCTAGAGAAATAAGCAACAACCACAGAATACAAAGAAGCAATCAGCCAAAGAATGGAAAGAAGCAGTTAAAAAGGAACCAGATTCACTTGAAAGATTAAATACAACATAGTTACTGGAAGGAAAGAAAGCAACTTAAAAGAAATGGGTTTTTAGAATAAAAGAAGGCGGACCTAAGGCGAGAATTGTAGCAAAAGGCTTTTAGATAAAGGAGGAGAATTCATTTAACACAGTTTACTTACTATAATAAGATCACTTTTATCTATTGCAAAAAGACTAGACTATAAGACAACTAGACTTTCCTACTGCACTTTTAAATGCAATTTTGGAAAGTAAAGAGGTTATTTATGTACCAGAAAGATTAAAAAGTATAACACCAATATTGAAACTAAAGAGAGCACTTTATGGCTTAAAACAATCACCAAAAGTGATGAAAAAGGAATGATATTTTATTTGAAAGGTCAAAATATGGCTGCTGTCTATTCAACAATGGAAAAATATGAATACTGATCTACATAGACGACTCACCAGATATAGATAAGATTGTACACCTTTGGAAACGAATTTCCAAAGAAAAAGACTTTTCTGGGTAAGAACATAATGAAAGATAAAAATACATTAAAAATTGACCAGATCAAGTTCATAGAAAAGCTTTTGCATAATTTTGAAATGGAAAATTGTAACACAAAAGCAACACCATTGGAAAAAGTTTTCTACTATGATGAACAAAGTAAAATTGTGTCGCACTCTTTTCAGCTAAAGCAGAATGTAGCTTCTGCTCAAGAGTTAATTCATTTAAAGGGACTTTTACAAGATTTTAAATTGAACAACGACACTATTTTGTTTTGTGATAACAAAAGTTCGATTATGTTGCCCAAAAAAAATGAAAATTCAAAAAGGGCTAAGCATATAGACATTAAACATCACTATTTGAAAGACCTAGTGTTGTGAAAGGACATTACTATAGAATATGTCTCAACAGACCAAAGTCTTTGTAAGTTTTTATACCGAGGTAGCTTTAAACTAAGTATATTATTATAAGTTATAAGTTGAACTGTATTGCGTATTCCTTTTTCTTTAATGTCAAATAGAGGAGACATGTTGGAGACGTCGGAAACGTCATTAGCCACAGTACCACAGTTGATGCTTAGGTTAGGTTGTTGTGTAGGGAACACTTCTTGTAGTCTATGATAAGTCGGTTAATAAAAGTTAAGAGAAAAGCACATGCACATAAATGAATGTTTCCCTCTCATAAGTAAACAGTACAAACACACAAACAAGTTGTCTAACAAAACAAACGCCATATACTGTAATAGGAATTGTCTTAGTGAGGAAACTATATTACCAACCTCCATTATTAGTCTTAGGAGAAAAAAAAACTTCCCTGTGACTGTGACAACAAAGAGCAATATAAAAATGATAAATGATAATGATTGGTTTACCACTTATCAATAACAATAATAATATGAAAACTTACTTTGTAATAGCTTCGAGGTATTGTTTACTGTTGGCGTTTTCTTGCCTTGTGACCACGTCCGGATGCAAGGTAAAGTCGGGAGCGAAAAATTCAAGATATTCCGTGTAAGGCAATTCATTTGATATTTGTTCATCTACGAGTAAGGAAGTTTCGTATGTCCAGCATCTCGCGACGTTTCTGAGGGTGTAGCCTCCGCCTCCGACCACCAAAGTGGGCACATTCAAGCTTTTAACGAACTTGACACACTCCCCGTGCCCTTTGGTGCTCAAGGAAAAGCAACCTAACCTAAAATTTAATATTATTCCTAACCTTATTAATCAAGCTCTTTGTTTAACCTGTCATTAGCTAGCGAGTCTGCCCCGCACTGGAGCACAATAGCCGTGGGCTGATAAAACTCCATAACATTGGAAATCACGGGTTTGAATACCTGCCAGTAACTGGCGTCGTCGATGCCCTCTTTCAAGGGTACATTGACAGAATAATATCTGCCACTTTCGGCGCCGATTTCGTACATGTCGCCAGTGCCCGGAAAGAAGTAATTGCCGTACTTGTGGAAACTCACAGTCATTACACGATCAGTGAGATAGAAAGCCTCTTGGACTCCGTCCCCGTGATGAACGTCTATGTCTATGTAGAGTACTCTTGGGTGATATTTGAGCAGTTCCAGTATGCCTATGACGATGTCATTCACGTAACAAAATCCAGACGCTTCGAATTTCTTCGCGTGATGCAAACCTCCTGCAATATTCTATAAGCTTGAGAATCTTTTTTACAATCATAACTCGTACCGGACCAGTTTATGGCAATATCGCAGTCGTTGTTGTTAAGTTTCATGGCCCCTTCAAGCGAAGCGCCTGTGTACATTGAACAAAAATCGAACAATCCGTAGAATACGGGACAGTCATCCCCCACGTTATAGTGGCTCAAGTGTTTGGTGAAAGCCTGTATGTTTTGCGGAGTTACTTTTTGTAAAAAATCTAAAATGCCCGATATTTTACTCGTGGAACAGACTTTAGCGGCAATTTACCGATATACTCGTCCGAATGAAACCTACACATATCATGCGCGCTGGCCTTGTAGGGTCTGTAAATTTGCATGTGCTTGTGAAGGCCATAGTTCAGGATCAAGCTGTGAATGACCGAAAGTCTGTGAGGTTTCATGGGATGACCGGCACCGTAATGGAAATTGCCCACGTCGGGATTAAAAAAGTAGGACACTTTTTGTTTGGACATGTTGGACACTAAATTTTATTCGAAAATCTGCCGGCACATCCAAATGAACGTCAAAAAAAGCACTACCACTATCAAACGCTCCGTTAGTTTGAATCTATCGTCCATAATTCGGAAAACTCAGTTCAGTTCCGAGACACCTTCGCGCAAACACAAAACGTTTTGTTTTTTTCGGTAAACGTCAAAATCTTCTTTGCGTTTAAAATCTCCTTTTTTTCTTCTTTTTCTTTCCTTTTTTGAAGAAGAGTCAAATTATTTCTATTTATGGCCGAATGATCTAGCGGTGCTGGCTAATATAAGTAAAAGAAAAGAAGAAGTTATATTAAAACTATGGTTTCAGTGAACCACAAAAATTATTCCCAGTTCCATCCAAGGGTATTTTACCCACTCTTTCCATGGTTTCAATTTATCAACTGACAAATTCGTGTTCCGTTAACGGAACATCTGAAATAAGTATGAGATTTATTGGTGCTGTCATTATTAGCAGAGAAATGCCCACTTTAAATATAATTTATTAGAAAAATACTAAAATTGTACAAAATATATACAAACACGATCCGCTCGAGACAGACTTTATTTCTCTATTCAAATTTGAAGCAAGTCCTCTTGAGTTTATTTTTTTCAATTTTATTCTTGAGGTCCTGTTTTACATTGGAAGTATCATACTTCTTAGGTGACGAACAACAGTTGTTTGAATACGTGTGATCCGAATCAGCGTTGAACAGGCGTTCGGATTTCACGGCCTTCTGTTTTGACGGATCGAGATACTTTTTCGCGATCGGGCTGGCCAGTATGCTTACGTCCTCGTTCGTTTTCCTTTTGATTTGCAACTGCTCCTCGTAACTGTGGTTTTTCACGTGTTTCCGCAGACTACTCGGATCCGTGTATTTCTTTGCGCACCCCGCAACCTGGCAAGCATAGGGTTTCTGCAAAAATGGAACTTAAAAATCCAGCATTTCGGTAGTTAAGTAATATGTACTGTATCAAAGTGTGTTCTTTGGTGTTTGGCGCGATCAGAACTGTTGGAAAAACACTTTGTGCAGCCTGAAAATTGACATACATAGGGCCTCTCGCCCGTGTGGCTCCGCTGGTGAATCTTGAGGTTTTCTAACCTCGAAAAGGCCTTATTGCAGCCGTTGAACTGAAACAGAAACTCGATATCGAAAACGTATCGGTTACTTGGTAATTTTTCGGAGGGGCGACGAGGCGAGCGAAACTTGTCTCGAAAAAAACGCGATAAAAACGCGTTTAGAACTAGGAATAGGAACGCGATACCATAAACAATGCGATTCAAGCGGTTAACACATGTTCGTTAATGTTCCGTAGAGACGCTGACGTTTTTTTTCTCTACAATAGCACCCAAAGGCGTAGCTCGCGGTATATGAACAGGACATACTGTATATTTCAATTTTTTTGGGATACGCTTTTCTTTAATGTGATATGCAATCCAAATGCAAACCGGAATGTAGTTCAGCCCATGGTGTGGTGGCGCTGTTTTATAAAGTATCTAATAAAAACAGTCTTTCCACTTAAAATGACATTTTAATATACTGCCTTATTGTGTACCATTAACTGTGGGATTGTGGCCAAGTTAAGGGGAAAAGGTGCTGTAAAACTTTGGCTGAAGATCACCGTCTCAGCCTTGGTTCCGTGCAAAGCAATTAAACATTATTATTGGTACCCTTCTCAAATTATAACTGTTTAATAAATATGAGTTTTAATAAATATTTTTCTCCAATCACTTCAGGACGGTACATTAATAAACCGTTTGATAAGTTTCCCATTTCAAATAATGCATGCATATGCAACATTGAAGAACATATAAATGCTTGTTTGAATACTTTAGTTTAATTTTTTCACATATGTAGTTTGTATAGAATTAATATTTTCTTTTTTTAGTTTTCTACGTTGAGTACGGTGGTGTTATTTGTTGCTATAACCATTGTAACATATCTTTATGTTACTTATTTGCATTGTTATTCTAATATCATAATTTATTCCTGGTGCGGTTTATATATTTTGCATCTTGCCATCTATATTCTTATTGCTTAATAAACTCTTTTACGTTTTGATTTGGAACATTGTTTTCATGTTATTATATAATAAAATGGGTTAAAAATGGTTCTACATTTATTTCCCTTATTTACTAATGTGTAACAAGATATTAACTACCAAATAGAAATTATGTTTAAATTTAATTGAAATAAAGCCTTAGCCTTAGTAAATTCATGGTCTGCAACTATTGCTAAGCCGTTACACCGTAACAAGAAAAGGCATTCCTCACCACCCAAGTAGAGAAGAAGAATATGAAACAATATAAACGTCATAAATGGAAATTGCGCATAGGTCACTGGGACAAATAAATACTGTTATCCTTGTGCCATGGTAGCGATTTAAAATCGCTCCACTACAAGAGCGCGTTACGCCGCTGATGCGGGAACCACCTGCCGCAACTGAGATGTCAGTGAGCTCGCCAGCGTAAAAAAGCGTTGGAAACTAGTGGAGATGCATCTGGGCCGCGGCCGTCGTTACGGAATATTTGTTTTTCGACAATTTTCGTTTTGCTCGTTGGCTCGGAAAAAAAGAAGACGCCCGGAAAGGGGTCACGACCCGTTAACCTAAAGCGTGCCGTCGTCCCGTTTGTTATTCTACAAGGTGCGAAGTGACAAACACTGTATAATAAACTATTAATATTGAGTCTACGCGCGGGATTTGTTTACTCGAGGGACGCGCGATCGCGCACATGTTCGAGAAATAACGATTAATTCGGAGTCGCGCGTCGGTTTTTGAGCGGGTTTTACGGTACGTGAAATGGAAACGATCCCTACATGTAAATTACAAGGTGAACGTGATTAATAAAATCAAAAAAATATCTTTAAAATTATGAATTTGAAATTGTATATTCTTTAAATATGAAAAAAACAATTACAATTATTTTTCTTAAAGCTTTAAGATACAAATAAAATGACTAATGAATACCTTAAATAGGTTTAATTACCCAACAGTAATAATGTAAGTGAAATACGATGAACACTGATATATTTTACTGAATATATGGTGCCATAATATGAGCGAAATATAAACAATAACAATTAATATCTATCATCCCAATGTACAGCAATTAGGTAAAATTAATTAATTAATTAAAAAGCTTTAAAAGGGATAACGGATGACTCAATACCGACATGGATATTTGTTTTTACTTTTTGTCACACTTTGTGATAATAAACTGAGTTATAATTATCGTCAAGGCTATATAACACAGCAAAGAAAATGATTTCAGTCTATTTCGTGCAAGGTTCCTGAACGCTATAGAATGATATGGAACTTCTTGATCGTATTATGTCGTCAAATAGACGGCAGACTGCTGTCTGGGTACTAAATTGTGAGAAATTTGACAGATGAAGTTACCAGCTATTTTTCCCGAATTTGTGCATGTAAAGTTGCGCAAAGCGTTTATTTTGTTAAATTTAACCTTTATCTAAATAAAGTCTAAATCGCGAAGTGGAAAAAAAGTACAACAAGCAACTGTAGAACCTGCTATCGCCAGAAGGCTCGTTCCTTTGTCGATTTTAAAATATGTTAACTAGCAACTTGTTTAAAAAACAGCGGAAAAATTAAAAAAAGGAAACAAGCTGGTAAACAATTTGTTAAAAAAAACTGTATTTCAATTCAGAATTCACACAATTAGCCTCGAAAATTAAAATAATTAGTATATATTGGGTTTTATTCGGGACAAAACAATAAAAATATACTCATTTCCAACCACAACATTTTTGCATAAAGTTTAGCTCTTTAATACTAAAAGGCATCAAAATTTAAAAGACAGCCTTTATAAACAAAATTTTACCAAAATAATATGCTAAACTGCAAAACGAAATAGATTTTCGTAGTCTGTGTTACGTCATTTTTAATTACACACCGATCTCGCGTGCGGAAAGCGTCACTTTACCAGGTCAGTTTCGTTTCCCACGGATCCGAGTCATTTCGGGCATTTCCGGAATTTTACTGCACAGATTTGGGAGCAATTGCCTTGAATTTTGTCGTTTGTCATTTCTGACGGTCATGTCAGTGAATGTATTTGTGTTGTTTTGCGAAAATGTACCCAAAAACTAACGGTCGTAGAAAAAGAATAGTATGTAACACTTTCGGTAACCTTTTTAAGTCACTCTTTTATTAAACACTGGCTCCGCTGCGCTCCGTTCGTCCGTCAAATAAACTCGTGAGTCAAATGCCGTTTACCGCGCTTGTTGCATAATATACTATTGTGTACTATGGTTAAGCATTTCGGCAATGGGCGAATGATCATAGCTGCCTCGCCCACCTCTTTATGAAAACGAAGAGGAAGAAGATATACTATGCCATTTACAAAACTTTTGGATTCCTCCTGCGTCGGTAATTAATGAATCAAAATTGCCGACGTTTCCCCAATCATTCTCTTGACTTTTTCAGAGTTTAACTGAAACTGGCTTGTATTCTACTCTGTACCTGCTTATATATCGTTTCAGGGGGGCGGACCTGAAAGAGGGTCAGGAAAATTGTGCAGGATGACTGTTCCCCATATTGGTGAAAGGTAAATACCTAAGTCGCGGTTAAGATTGTTTGGTTGCTCATAGATTTTTATAGATTCTCGGATTTTTCGTTGGTAGATTACATACAAGAATTTTAGTTTTATCTAATAAAAATTTATGTCCGGTTTCGTGATTGTGTTCGGCAACTACTGATGAATTTATTTGTAGTAGCCTTAAGACTCTTTCATGTTCTTTTAGCCTAGTTGATATTTTTGGTGCAATCTCTACTGGTATCTGCATGTTGAGAGATTTTTGGACAAGTGGGAAGTCTGGTTTTGATGTTATATTTCTTTGAACTTTTGATATGTGGTCAGTGAAGTGTTAAATGTAAGGAAGGACAACAATGGCAAGGGTGGGGTTGCCTTTGGAAGGTTGTGGTGAAGTGTATTTTGTGATGGTACACTTAATATCTCTAATGTGGAGACTATTAGGAAGAAGAACAGATGGAAGGTGTTTTATTTTTGGGTTCAGTGACTCGGGTTGAGCTAGTTTTACGGCTCTGTATCTCAACCCGAGACATCTGCTCTGAACCTTATATCAGCTCTTCTCTCTAATAATTTTCACATTAGAAATATTAATCTTTCAAAGACAATGAGTCTGAAAACAACCCCACACTTGCCACTGTTGACTTTAATTACATTCAAAATATCACTGAACACATATCAAAAGTTCTTAAGAAATATCGTCTTTGATCCATCAGAGACAAAATTCCGTTTGAAATACCAGGAGTTTACAGTATTCCATGCATATGGGGTAAAGAATACATTGGAGAGATTGGACGAAAAATGTTAACTAGGCTCAAAGAATAAGAAGGGTACAGAACATGAAAGAACCTTAAGACTACGAAAAATAAACTCATCAGCAGTTGTCGAATACAATAACAAAACCGGACATCAAATTTTATTTGATAAAACTAAAATTCTTTTATGTATTCAATCCTTTTACCAAAGAAAAATCCGAGTATCCAAAGAAATCTATAAGCAACCAAACAATATTAACCGTGACTCAGATCTTTATATTTTACCAGTATGGGAATCAGTCATCCGAGACAATGTTCAAACAATAATATGAGAGTACAGAGTAGAATGCTAGCCAGCTTCAGTTTCAGGCTACTGTAATACTTTTCATAAAACTTCTGGGTACGTTTTTGATGAGTCCAACTAGCTAAGGTTTCGCCAATCATCCTGTTCGATCTTCAGTGTCAGTCCATAGCTGAAGCAGGAGAAATCCAGAAGTTTTGTAATATTGTGGAAGTTTCTTTGAAAGATTAAAAAGATATACAGGGATTTTACTATACCAATAAGACTGTTGTCCACAAGCTGGTAGAAAGGTTGTATAGTAAAAAATGTGTTTTTATAAAAATCATCAAGATCAATTAATAAATAAACGAAGCCAATCGATCGCTATAGATGTTATAAAAAATGGCGGTTCGCGTACCGGACATTTGTTGGGCTTTTCGCCACTGTGGACCCGCATGTGGATAAGCAGTTTGTATCGGGCGTTGAACGGCTTCGTTTTCCTCGGACACCGTTCCCAGAAACACGTGAACTCCTCCCCTGCGAAGAGAAAATAAGGAATTGTAAAAGGACGTATCACTTCGTTCCATCTTTACCTCGTTTCACTTCGACGTGCGACTTTTCAATGTGCTTGACCAAACCGCCTTGCGAGTCGTACGCCTCGTAGCACCCATCCCATTTGCATTGGAAGTTTTTCGATGCGATCGCATCGTCTCCGTAATCGCACCCGTAAACTTCCGGCACTACTGAAGTCGTGTAGAGTATATTGGACGAGCTACAAACAAGTTGATTTCGCAAAACTATCTTCTGTAGCGTCCCACCACGTCAACAAACTCAACAACCCAATCCAAGATACTCGTGTGTTTGGGGTGTAGGCATTGAAACTGACCACTAACCAATTGTTGGTAAAATAGTAATTTCGCAAGAATGAGTAAGATCCATTGAAAAATCACATAGAACAATAGAAAACGAAGTTGATTTCACGAAACTATTTACAGGAGCAGCAGCAGATAGTTTTCTCAGTTGTATTGTCCGTCTGGCTTACAGTTCTTCATATCACATTGACCCATTGTCATAGTCTTATTTTGCTGTTACGCTAACGGCGGGATTTTTGATTCACCCTATATCATTTAAACATCTTGCCGCACTATCGCAGACGAATCAATATTTTGTGAGTATGTTCTACGTAAATAGTTGAATTACTAGGTAACATTAATATTCCAGAAAACGGCAAAATGCAAAAATTGTAGTTCTCGACTTGAGCTAAAAGGCCGTTAAACCCAATCCCCGCTGTTTGCTACGGTTTGGCAGTTACGGCCAATGATTTATTCCGACAAATGGTAGTTTTCAGTTTTTGTCCGTAACTGTATATTTTTCACTATACTATATTTTTTAGTTATTTCTCCGAATCTCTTGCGTTTTCAGATCGATAATTTATCCGATCGGATATACCTACCGTTTTCGAAAAAATCTGTTTAAAAAGAAATTCTTCCCAGTTTCCGAGCAAAATGAAATAATAGCGGAAAAGTAGCCGCAGATGTCGGATCGGTTCAATAAAATGCGGGCCGCTGCTCGTCGCCCAGTATTAGTACGGGAAAAATTTTAAGCAGTTTTGATGCCGATTTTTTTCTGTACCGTGCGTAGCCGACCTACCTCAACAGCGGGTCGTCGTGAAGCAACGCGTCCGACTGAGTCAGGACCATTTGGTTGTCGCCGCAGACGTAACTGATAGGGAGTGGCCGGTCGACTTCGATCGTATCGGGTCCGATCAAGTGTCCGAACTCTGTCCTGTTGTTTGGGTCCTGCAACCGGCGAACACTTAATAGAAAATGGTCTATCTAACGCAAAAATAGAATCATTTGTAAACCGTATAAAGAAAAGGGGGACCAGGCTAGTGCAATTCTGTCAAGAAGAGAACCTTATTATCACACATACCCATGTTAAACACCCTTCGAAGTGTCTTTGTACTTTAAATATTGACAGGAAGGTAACATACAAGATCGATTATATTAACGTCAATATAAGGTAAAAATAACAGATACAAAATGCAGCAAAAGAAGTCGGAGCGACGCACTCAAAATCGGATGCGCGTAGAAACAACCAGCCCCTAATGATCGACGAAATATTGAAACTAATGGACATCAGAAGAACACATGTGCCCAAAAATACAGGAATATTCAAAACAAGATCAGAGATGCAAAAGAGATGAGGTTATCCGAATGTTGCGAGGAGATGCATAAAATAGTAAACGATCTCGCCGGAAACCATCATGTATTATAATGAATGAACAAAATTGAATGAATGGATTGGATATGTTGAAAATCTTTTTAGAAACAACTGTAAGATCAGAAGTAGAATAATATACCCTGTCACTTTCGAAACAGTTTATGTTGATATTTTAAAAGTTCTAAAAGAAGATTCACTTAACATAATGGTACACACTCACTTAACATAATAGTAGAATTATTTAATAACATATACAAAACTGACATAATCCCTTTTCTCAAAAATCATTCCGCAACCGTATATTCTGAAAATGTGAAGAAGGTGTTAGTGTTCTCAGTTTGGTTTCTGAAATGGATTTCGAACGAGAGCGTCACCATATAAGTTCTGGTCCATCGCTGCGGGAATGTTAGTGTTGATACCGTAAGGCACGATAATAAATTAATTGACGTCCTCAAAGAAATGGGACTAGATATTATAGCAAATCTCTTTTAAGGCCAAACAGCGGCCGCCAAAGTGGATAACGAGCTTTCGAAGGACTTTATGATTAAGAGAGGGGTGCTTCAGGGCTGCGTTCTGTCCCCATTATTATTTAACTTGTACTTAGAGGCCATGTTCTGGACGTTTTACAGTACCTCAACCGCAGACCTTTCGCAGGACCGTGGTAAAATCCATCCCAACAGATGTTTAATCTGCATTAAATAGGTCTTGCCTGAGACGAACTGTAACAAATATTTTTAAAAACTTGAAAATTTTTATTTGAAATGTAAATGAACCGGTTTAAATTTGATTAAGCATTGATGCTGCGTTCTTAAGAGTTTAATCTAAATTGCAGTATGTTCGTATACATTAGTAAGGTATTTGAATGTGATCCTTAGAGTAAGTACGTATTTATGTACATGATTCTCGAGCTTTGACCCTGGGAGGCTGTTTTCACTAGATAGTTCAAAGGGTAAGGGTAAGTATCTGTACTCTATTTATCTTACAGGTAAGTTTGAAAATAATCATTTTTGTCTTGTGTGTGTATTTTTGTGTTTTCTACATAGTTCTTCGATTGGTAAACAACAACAGTCTTTTTTAAGACTATAAATTATATTCGTGGTAGTTAAAGATACGTCATAAGAATACAGATAAACATTTAATCTTTATTAACACTTTCAAAAATGGGGACCGTGGAATGAAGCAGATGTTCCCCTGTTAGAAGAAGACATGAAAGACAACGCAGAATTTGAAGACGAAGTGGAGATGGTAGTCGAACCTAAGGACAATCGAGAAGACGAACTACCTTAGCAAATAAAATAACGGATCCATTTCTCTTCGGATGCTAAAAAAAAATGTTTTGAATGTTCACAATTTTATAAGAAATTCAGAAGGGAATGTAGGAGTAGCAATAAAAACAAGTGACATAGAACGTAATAAATTGTTACTTTGTACTTTTTATGTACATGTTTCAAGAATTGCTCGGCGCAAAAGATTGCAAATAGACTTATATCCCACTTGTTAGGGTAGGTAGATAAATTTCTAGGACGGTCCTGGAATAGTTAGAGGTAAGGGTCTGCTCGCCAGGGTATTCTATAAGGGCTGCGGTTTTGGAGTAATAAACAGTAGGCAAATTTAATGACGGGGTCGGTTGTAAACGAAGTATAAGAATCGGTAGGTTGAAAATCAATAACCTTAGATATGCCGATGTCGCGGTCTTACTTGCCACTAACTGCAAGAACTCTTAACCGCACTTACGGAACACAGTGAGTCTATGGGTTTCAGACAGTTAAAAAAAAAACGAAATGGCTAGTTATCAAGAAAGCTTAGATGATTCAAGGTGATAATTTGATCGTTAAAAATGAGTAGTAGAGCGTGGGATACAAGTATCTTGGTTGCCATTTGGATGACAAATGGGATCTAACCTCCGAAGCTAGGAGCAGAATAGAGCAAGCCAGACAGACTTTATAAATGTGCAAAATATCTTCATTAGTAGGTACTTAAATATTCCTCTTAGAATCCGACTGTTACGTTGCTGTTTTTACTGTCCTGTTCTGCGGTCTTGAGGCTAGATGCAATGTGCAAGAAGTTGTGTAGTAGGCGTATCGTAAAATTCTTAAGATGCGCTGGACAGATATTACAAACATAGAAGTACTTTATCGAATAAACAAAGAAAGAAAGTTTTTAAACGACATTAAACGTCGAAAACTGGAGTACTTTGGTCACGTTATGCGTAATGACAATTACAAACAAAACTTATAAACCTACCTGCATATCATACTGTGACGATTGCACACTTTGTATATATACGTACCGAATCGAATATGTTCTAGCTTTAGACGTAGAAAACGTAAAAATATTATTTCCGATATGAATTTCTACTCATATAATTTTTCAAAGAAATTTCCACAGGCTACTGTAAAATTATTTACAAATCTTCTGGATTCCTCCTACGTCGGTTAGTTAATAAATCGAACTTGTTGACGTTTCGCCAACCATCCTGTTGGCTTCTTCAAAGCTTAACCGGAACTGACTCGCATTCTATTCTGTACTTGGTTATATATATATATATATATATATATATATATATATATATATATATATATATATATATATATATATATATATATATATATATATATATATATAGTTTATATTTTGTTTTTTCTTAGACCTTCTCTATATTTATGTTTAGCTTTTGGTTCTTGGGTTATAGGTCTTTGTATTAAAAGCGATTAAAATTTTTTGTCCATATATTGACGTTTCGGTCTTCTATGACCTTCTTCAGAAAGGGATACAGTCTAAAATTATGTTATAGTACAGTTCTTTTTTTTACATATACACAACGGAATTACAAAGAGCCTTACCAAAAAGAGACAAACACAAAACTTAAAATTGAAGAGGTAGCATCATATGGAAGTTTATACTTTAAAAGCGTTTGGTTTTCTCATAGTGCCTAGAAATATTATTGTTTTGGTTTTTTTCCAACTATGAGAATAAAAAAGTCATACCCTTGATAAAAGATAAAAGTCCAACAAAAAATGATTTGTATACGGCACTCACACACATAATACACACAAATTTAACGAAACAGTTAAAATATATATAAGAGTTTAAAAAAATAATAATAATAATACCGATACGCGGGTTTGCTCGCGTCGACGTTACTGTAAAAACATCGTACGATGCACGATTGTTTTGGTGCAAGGTTCAGAGGATATACAGAGTGTTTTTGTTAATTTATAATTTTTTTCTTTTATTTATTTTAAATTATTTTTATATATTATAATTTTATATTAATATATTCCTATGTTGTATCTTTCATTGTTGTTTTATTTCAGAATGTTGCAATATAACTTACTGAGATTGTTGGTGTCTGTTTTCGAATTTATAGAGTTCTTATTTTTTTGGATCTCAACCATTTCCAGAATTTCCCTTTTTTTTGTATTATATATAACACAGTGTTCGAAGTGTTTTTCTGAGCGGGAGCATTGAAGATGCCAAGTGAGATTTTGGCGAAACGTCTGCAGGATTCCAGTCGGATGTAAGATTTGCAGGATTCCAGTCGGATGCAGGATTCCAGTCGGAGTTCAACGAGCGAACGGATGATATCCCGGAATATAGTGTCATCATATATATATATATATATATATATATATATATATATATATATATATATATATATATATATATATATATATATATATATATATTGTTTGAGGGGGGCGAGCTAAAGGAGGGGCATGATCATTGCGTCGGATTAAAATAAAACAAATAGTCCATCCTTAAAGAGACCTGAGATGTTCGTGAATCCTGATGGAGATCTTAACGCCACAGTCCAAAGAATATATTCCTGATCTAAAAAAATAATCTATTGGATGCTTAGCTATATATAGCTATAGATAAATTCCTGCTCTTGAGCAATTTAGCTGCGTGTAGCGAAAAATTACCGAAATAGTCCAAGCATTGGAACATACGTACTGGAGATTTTGACTTTATTATATAATACGATAACTGGTATTTGTTGGTAAATTTGTAAAATAATTTGCTGCTTGAACAAAGTGGACAACCTTTGTTAAATGCAATTTCTCTAATCGTCGTCAATTGGAATGTTAAAATGCCTAAATAAAGAATTTAAAAAGGCAAATTTATGAGAATATGGAGAGTTGGAGGAAAATTGTATCACATTGTCAGTAGATGTGACCTTTCCAAAAATCTCAAATTCAATTCTTTTACTTTTCCTGGCTAATAGAATATCAAGAAACGGCAAAGTACCCCCGCCTTCCTTCTGCAACGTAAAATAAATTTTTTCATGTAAGGAATTGGTGAACATTAGGAATTTGGTAAGCGTTTGTTGGCTGATATTCCAGACAATGCAAATGTCGTCCACATATCTTTTATAAGCTGTTAAATATGTGGAGAATTGACTATTCATAATTTTTCTCTCAAGATTGTTCAGAAAAATTTCACTTAAAAAAGGTAACACTGATAGTCCTGTGGTTTGTCTAAAAAATGTATTATCAAACTTAAAGAAATGCTGTTCTAATGCAGTCGTTAAAAGACTATCGATGAAAATTTCTGGCAAATGGGAGCCATTCAATAATGAACTCAATAAACCAATTTTTTTGACATTAAGAGAAATCGACATAGCACTGTCTGGAATGTCAATATTCTTCAAGCAACTGGCCGACTTCACTGAATTTTTTGTTAAATAAATGCTCTAAAAACCAGTTGTATTTCTAAGAACTATGCTATGCCATGAAGTGTTGAAAAATTGCAGTGTTAATAAAGCTTTATCCACATTAGAAGTATTAATCAACCAAACAATCTTAACTGCGACTCGGAACGTTACTACCGTCATAAGCCAAACCCTCGTATCTATCAAAATTGAAATATTTGACTTTATTTGACCTTTCAACTTACAAGGATTGTTTTTAGCATAAAAATAAGCTTAATTCCCGTAAATAAGACCCTTTATCGGTAAAACTGAGACTTAGCCGACACCGTAATTAACAATTTTGTAGAATATACTTGCAAAATTTTTACATGTGGTACTTTGATTTTTCAAAGAAACTTCCACAGGCTACTGTAATGCTTTTTACAAAACTTCTGGATTCCTCCTGCGTTGGTTTTTGCTTAGTCGAAATTGCTGACGTTTCGCCAATCATCCTGTTGGCTTCTTCAGAGCTTGAAGACAAAAAGAAACACATTTTGGACAAACTTGTTCCGCTGATACCAGCGTCCACGGGGGGATTCTGGGAAAATTTATCTGTTTTCAATATAGTGATGGTTCATTCTCTATCTGTTTTGATTATATATTAAATTTTATAAATAAAATTCTTTGATATTAAAAACAATTTTTTTTTATTAATTCAAATTACAGACTTTAGAGTCACAAAGAAGAAGGTATTATAATGAGTAATTAATAATTATAAAACTAGAAGTAACGTAACCTCAATTCACACTTATATACCAGCTAAGAACACCATAAATGACGCACATTGGGTTATCGCTTAGTAAGATAGGAACTTATCAACGGCACAAATGATTTAACCAACATGTCAACAGAAAATATATGACATAATGATATTTTTAGTGTGGCAATAGTATATTATAGTAATTATGCATTAACGGAGCGCAGCGAAGCGAGTGTTTAAAAAACGAGTGACTTAAAAAGTTTACTAAAATTGTTGTATACTATATTTTTTCTACCGCCGCTAGTTTTTGGGTACATTTTTGCAAACCATTGCGAATACTTTCATTGACATGACCTTCAGAATTGACAAATGTCAAAATGTAAGCCGTGCTGTAAAATTTTCGAAAACATCCGATTGCTCCCAAACCCGTGCCCATATCCCGGAAATGGCCGAAGTGACTCGGATCCGTGAGACAAGAAACTCACATGATAAAATGACGCTTCCCGCACCCTAGATAGGTGTATAATTGGGTATTGTCCAGAACGAATTACAAAAATTATTTTTCCTCAAATCTCTGTTTCGTGATTTGCACAAATACCGGGGTTTGGCTTATGGCTGCCGTTTAGCTTTCACGAATATGGGATTCAGTGATCCAAGAAAATGTTCATGCCCCTCCTTTAGCTCCACCCTCTCAAACAATATATAAGCAGGTACAAACTCTGAAGAATCCAACAAGATAATTGACGAAAGTGAGCAAGTTTGATTTATAATCAGCTTACGCCGGAGTAATTCAGAAGATTTGTAAAGAACCCCCATTCTTTTCTCTCTGCCCCCGCAGTATACCCAGCCTAGGATTATTAATTCTATGAAACTGCTTAACTTTAACGAGATATACCTGTTGCGCGTATCCTACGTCGTCAGCCGGTATAGTCCTCACGTAGTTATTAAAATCGACGTTATTCTTCACGATGGTACCGATCGGGGGCAGAGAAATACCGCCTGTCGAATCCTCCAGATCAAAGGAGGCGCACGACAGGACCTCGCAGAGATCGATATCGTCAAAATCCATATCCAGGTCGTCGCGGTTCCCAATGGGCGGGGCCACATAAAAATTCGCGAAACTTTCTCCGAAGTTGACGTCGGAACGCGCGAAAGTTTCGGTGTCGAACTCGCTCTTCGACACGTTCTGGTCGAAACTCTCCTCGAAGTCGTCGAAGTCGAAGTTTATGTCGCAACCGGTCGCGCTCAGGTCGTCCTCGGAGATGAGGAAGTCGATGAGGTCGTCGTCCGTGGTGGGGTCATAGACGGAGCCGGCAGCGCCTCGCGTTTCGTCGTAGCAAGTCGTAGAAACGTCGTAGCTCGGCGTCGCAGGTTTGTACGCGTTCTGGGCCTCGTAAAAGGCCAAATTGAACTTTTCCATGAGCTCATTTTGGGTGAACGAGGTCGCGTAGGGCTCGGTTACGCGGTACATGAAGTCCTGGTTTTCCAGTAACATTCCTGCAACGGACATGTGAAGGACACGGGGAAAAACAGATGAATGTCGCAAGAATGAGTATCTGAGAAATTTCCGCAATATATATTCGATTCAATTTTTTTGTTCTCAATACCTAGTAGTATAGATTACTTTATTGATATGTAATTTAGAAAAGTGCAATATCCTCATGTAATACCGGACTAATATTAAATCTAAATAAATTGGCCATTATTGACTTCGGACCTTTTAAAGATTGGGCTAGTAAGCTGCTTGACATTTCAATCAATAATGTTAAAATACTGATTGTTTCTGAATGCAAAAGCTTGGGTGTTATTTTTGATAATAAATTAAGGGTCAAGACTCCTGTTTCCCAAGTTATAGAAAAAGGTGAGTAAATGAAGAAACTTACACAAAAACAAAAATATTCTTAGCAGAAAGTTAAAAAATTATTGTCTGAAGCTTGAATTTTCTTTTACATATTCGGTTGAGTTACCACCTCAGCTGCCCTTCGCCTAGTAAAAAATAAACGGATTTTTATTTATTTATTTATTTACTTCTGGTCCAAATGAAAGTTGTTGTGAAATTCTTTATTTCATTATTGGATTTTGAGGTTATGTGTGAAATTCTAAACATGGTTTATGTATAATGTCCCATCCTTATACTTAACCGTTTTTGAAATATTGGAACATGAAAAAAAATTGCATCTACAGATTAACCACCTTGGAAGTACGCATTTTCCATTTATAGTTTTAAATTTTCATCCTCGTATTTGCCAAAATGTTAAAAAGAAGCCTCAGTTTGCGTTTTTGTTATTCTGGTTATCTACTTTTATTCAGGGTGTCCGAAATTAGGCTGTAAACATTCACATTTTCGCTAAACTCGGTTTTTACGAATGTAACTTTAGGGTGTTATCATGTCCAGAACTAATTTCTCTATCAAACCGTATTAGGGTTACTTATACTTATTAAATAAAACAAGCCAAAAATGTTTAAGCTTTTGATGATATTCGATTCTGTATAATTTAGGCGTACTAAATTTAAATTTGATAAGCATTTTATCACGTAAGGTTTTATAGCAACATTAAAAGAATTAATAAATGAAAATGACATACAACGTTTTCAGTTTCTATTATGGTATTCAGAACGTCTTGATCTTCCATTAATCGCCTACAACAAAAAAACAACAAAAACAAATTTTCCACATAGGTATTTATAGCACGTTCAATCTTTATTTAAGCTTTAATTTAAAGTACTGCTTCGTTAGTCCTAATTTAATATTCAACTGTCTACTATCGTGAGAATTTTGCTCCGGGAGATAAATTAACACATTTTGACCAGTGCTTTTTCACCTAATGTTGCTGTCTGTTTGTACTGCCCCACTCACAAGAAAAACAGGGGTACTTCGTATATCCTGACTGCAGACCTAGTCCCACAATTTTTAAGTCATCAAAAATCATCGAACCATAGTCCTTGTATTTGATTTTTTTAAGTAGTAGTTCCAGATTTTCGTAGCGTTCTTTCATTTGCACAGAATGAGCAACATATGGAAAAGAACAGCTTTAAGGCTTCTTTTGCAATGAGCCAATAAAAAGCCTTCAGTCCTCAGAATTGTAGTCTGTATCAAGTTTCTTTGTTCGATTAGGCACGTGGATCCAATAAACAAAGGAAATATGAGATTTTTCTTATGCCAGTAAATTTTTATTTCGAAGTCTTGATGTTAAAATTTGGACGAGATCCTTAGGTAAACCGAAGTCCCTACTAAGTCATTAAGTTGTGATTGTGAAAATAAATGCAGGTGTTAAGAAGCACTCACTAAATGTGGTGGTATTTTCTTATGAATTGTTTTGATTTTCAGGTATTGGGTTATCTGGGCCATGTGTGGGGCGTTTTAAAAATTTTTAGTATTATATACATGATATCCATGATCATGTTGATTTGTGGGATCTTTCCATATCATACGTAACAAACAATATGTGGCTCACAAGGTTTGCCTTCATCACTTTAAAATAAACGTAGCATTGTTTTAAACAGGACTGCAATTTTGCGCCTAAATTTCTTGACTGCAAAAGCAATTCCAATTTTTAGAATGTTATGTAATGTTCCTATTTTTAAAACAATAAATATGTCATCTCAAAAATTAATTCAAAAATGTAGCGTCAGAGAATAAAAAAAAACATTGCTTTTCTAGTAGTTTAGTCACCGTAACTACAAAAATATGAAAAATACCAAATCAGAAAATCTTTGGGTCTGTGTAATTAGGTTTTTTGATGGTATCGTATTTATTTGTATGTCGACATCTGTCACTAACAAAGTGAAATTTTAAATTTAAATATGGAAGAATAGCCAAATGCCAATATTCTCAATTTGTTTTATATCCACAGTGAATATTACAAAGCGCTGGGCAGGACCTGTCGTGTATTAAAGTACGACATCCCCATTTGCCACCAATGAACAAGACAAAAGCCAAGAAGCTTGAAACGAACTTTCGGAAAAATTAAAGTCCCAAAACCAATAACTGATGACGAAAATAATGTACCACATACATAAGCTTATTGCCACGCACACCTGCAAGGTTCAATCCCGTCTGCAGAAGAAGATTTGGGAATTGATTTTTATTTGTGTGGATGTATCAAAAGTGGCCAGTGAATAACAAAGAAGATAACGAACAGCTTTTACCGAATTGGACCATTAATAATGATTTTTTTTTCTTTGAAACTTAAACCTCTCCGTGTAGCATTGGGCTTGCAAAATCGTCCTTGAAGATCTTGACACTTTTATAGGGAGTTTGTAGTGATATTTTAAAGCAGGTAGATCATATCACTGCAGAAGTCGTGCATGTATCATATATATGATTCACTATATTCTATCATAATTTTTCAAAGAAACTTTAACAGGCTAATGTAATACTATTTACAAATCGTCTGAATATCCCTTGGGTCGGTTGAATCGATCCTGCTGACATTTCATCAATCATCCCGTCGGCTTCTTCAAGGCTTAAGTGAAACTAGCTCGCATTCTACTTTGTATCTGCGTATATATTGTTTCAGCGGACGGAGCTAAAGGAGCGGCATAAACGTTGTCTTGATTGATTTGGTTGCTTTCTCAGATCTTACGTCAGTAGAAATGATTATATGCAAGAATTTTAGTTTTATCGAATAAAACTTGATGTCCGGTTTTGTGATTGTGTTCGGCAACTGCTGAGGAATTTATTTGTCGTAGGCTCTTTGGTGTTCTTTGAACCTGGTATACTTTGCCGCATATGTATCTCAAAAGGAATTTTGTCCTTGGCGGATCGAAGATGTTGAGAGATCTTTGGGAAAATGATTAATCTAGTTTTGACGTTATATTTCTTAAGAACTTTTGATATGTGGTCAGTGATTTTTTGAGTGTAATCAAGGACCAGAGTGGCAAATATTTTGTGATGGAACGCTTAATAGGTTTAATGTCGAAAATATTAGAGAGAAAGGCAGATGTAAAGTGTTTTAATTCAGGGTCTGTGTGGGTAGGTTTTCTATAATGTAATGGGAGACTATTATTAGTTTTCAATTCAATGGCAACACGTACTTTAGGGTATTTATATATATACATATACTATCTCAGCGGAGTCACTGAACCCAGAATTAAAACACCTTACATCTGCTCTTCTCACTAATAATAATAGAGCAGGTACACAGTAGAATGTGAACTAGTTTCAGTTGGGCTGTGAAGAAGCCAACAGAATGAAAGGTCAGCAAGTTCGATTGGTCTACTTTCAAATAGACATATTTATTCATCTTTTTTTCAATGTGCGGTAAAATTTAGATTCGCTTGGTTTGCGACTCTAAACTATTTTCCTCGGTTGTAATATTTTATATGACTCTTGTATCGTTTTTGCGTTTTCCCGCCGTTATCTCAAAATTTGAAATTTTCGCCGTTCATATTTACGCGGAATTTTGGGCGCATCCCGCATATACAAACGACTAGTCTGATTTGTAGATCGGGACGCGAAAATGTATCAATTTGTTCCATTTAATTCGCTGTTTTACAAAGGAAAAAAATATTATTAAAAACACGCTTTCTAAAAATCAAAAACTTCTTCTCCCAAACTCAATATTGGGAGTTGAGCAAAAATAGTTGAGATGTGTTCGAATACGACTGGAGTCGGATGGACTTGTGCAACAAGGAGAAGTACAGCGAAAAGAAACTGTGATAAATCATGATCCGTCAGAAGAATAATACACTCGTTATACTTAAAAATGAAATATAGGTAAAATGACGCTTGTGACATGCTAGAATATACTGTAGAGCCAGTTATTATTTCTCTGGACTCCAACGAGTATAGTTCACCTGACTACTCGGAATATGACTAAAATTTGCTGGAGAATAACTATATAAATAAGAAACACTAAGTATATGAAAATGGGAGGGACAAAGAGATTTACCAATAAGAGAAATAAAAATAACATGTAAATACTGATACCCTGGTAGTACTTTAAGCGGAGAAGACAAAACGTTATAAATAAAATACAGCAAGGAAAGAAAGCAACTCAGTCCTTCAATTCTCCATTATTGGCTAAACGCATAACAGTTGATACTATATCGAGCTGCAGTTGCACCTATCTTGACATAACTAAACAAGAACGACAAGAAAAGCATAGATACAGTGGTAATGAACTTTCTCAGAAGGGCTTGCATAAAATTGAAATTAGAGCATCTTACAAATGATGCAATTTATCGAAAAACGGGGAGAGTTGATCCCGTTAGTTAGACGGAATCAAAAATATCACGAGAGACGATGAGATATATGAGAAGCGGCGGATGTTAGGGTCATTCTGTTCTATTACTTTTTAACTTATTATTATTCATCTATTTTACTGTAAAAATAAAAACCTGAAATGATTTTACTACAGCTTCAAAGCGTCAAGAACGAGAAACAAATTTCAAATTTTCCGTTCCATAGTAGTGACTCGTTGATCCACTGTACTGTCATAAAATAAATTTGAGGTCTAAAATCATATAAATTTTTTGCTGTATTTCATCAACTTCATGTTTGTAAAAAATACTCAGCTGACGTACTTCATGATTTACTAGACATTTTATAAATTTAAAGGTAGGTGGCATTCGAGTCATATAAATTCAAATTCAAAAATTCGTTATATTTAAAAATATTGACCACTTTTTTTTATTTCGATCATAGAAATAGTAATTTACTAGGTAATTAGTTTAAATCATTTATTGTGACAAAAAAAAAGAATGTATAGATTAACTTGAGAAACGGACTTGACACGATACTGCCAGAATGAAAATTAATGTTTATTAGATTAATGCAAATACCTTTTCAGGGATTTGTGGAAAATGTAGAGGACCTAAAAAGTGGAATTATTGCTTGGGTGCACTATTTTCGGCAGGGTTAGGCCAGTCCATGAGGAGAAGAATGAGAGGAAGAGTTTTTGTATTTTTTTAATTTTTAGTCGAAAAATTGGATTTTTTTTTTATATATATATAATATAGTTTTTATTTTTGATCTTACATGATATGAGAAAAATTTAAAAGCACGAAAAAGTAGTCGCTCCATCTCTTACTTCTAAATAAGTTTAGAGTCATGTATATTTATTATTACATTTATAATTAGAATAAAGTATCTTTATTCATCAAATTCGTCTCTCTATTTTATACTAATTAACATTTAAGTGAATTTTGCGATATATTTTAATAAAAATTATTATGATTTATTTATTTTTTCACATTATTCTGAATACGTTTACAATTATTCGAATAAACTACCTGCAGTAACGGCGCTGTGGCATTAACTCCATTCGTCAAACTCGTCTGTCTATAGGCCAATTATACTTTATCTGAATTTTACTATTAAATTGTCATCTTGTTTAATGATCCCCGTCATAGCAAATTTACATGATATTATTCCCTGGGATTAAGAATTTCATGGTTATTTTGCACGTTGCTTTCGAGCACCAAAAGATGTTTTTTGTTTTTTTTTAAGTTGCAAAATTTTAGGTCTTTAATATTTGTATTCATAAAAAACATCTTGTATTTTTTTTACAATCGTCTTGTTTATTTTCCTTCTTGAAACGCAAAAAAAATGTATTTTTACGATCCCAATGGTATTTCGAAATACAACTTCGTGAGCTAATTTGACCGGCAGATTAGATACCGACCGTAATTTTTAGAAAAGCGTTTTCGATGTCGATCGCATCGTCCGATTGCGTTTATTATTAATTAATTATTTTGCAACAAGCGTAGACAGATTGTATCTAATTTTAGATAAATTTAAACATTTCAATAATTCAAAAAATAGCAGTTGACGTTGTTCATTGAAAATACGAGTCTAGTGTTCAGTTGCAACGGTCAATCACTTACCTATTTGAGTAAGTTTTCCTAGTAGTAAGTAACGAAATTTCTTATTGATCAATCTTTGGGCCGATCGAAAAATTGCCTATTTGAGTGTGACACCGAAGGCGCCTCGCATCAATCACTTGTCCGTCGCCTACCCCGGCACGATACCGTACGAAACGATAAAAAAAAAGAAAAAAAATATTTTTTTTCGAAAAACATTACATTCCAATACGATATAAACAAAAAAAACACGGGAGCCGATTGGCTTGTCAGACGCGGCGCGTCACAATACGTCTCGGATCACAATAACATCGACGTCACTCAGTGATAATTTAAGTAGGGTTTCACAGCGTCCAAAAAATCTTCGGCCGCGATCGGCAGTTTACGTCCCGGTCGTCGGGTAAGCCAATCCACAGTCGGTACTGAAAAGTACCGTGTGAAGGGTGTGGGTAGCGTCGGTACCACAATGGACGATGCGCATATTTGATGTTGAATGAAATTTTATTTGCAATGTGTCTTTATCATATCGCCTTCTTGGAAAAAAGTGACACAACTAAAAAAAATTGCGTTTTTGACTTCTATGAATGAAGTTGTTCCAAAACCATAATGGTTTTCTGACAAAAAAAACGGCACAAAATACCTACGAATGTAATAATGTCCATCACAGTTACCATCAAAAGTGCTTACAAGAAAAAAAAAATGTAAAACGAAAATTTTTTTGTTGGTGAATTATTTTTTGTTGTTTACAAAAATATTCCGTTTTTTTTAAATAAATAGCCACTGAGTCCAGTTTATTCCATAGTTCAATTTAAGAAAATTTGGAAAATATCATTTCCGTTATTATATTTAGTTGTTCATTTACACTTCTGTTTCAACAGCAAAAAGGTAAATAAGCGTTTTGGAATAACTTTTTTTAGTAGAATTATAATAATAATTCCACTTCTTTTTGTAAATTTGAAATTGAATGATACCATTAAGCAATGGGAATACAATTAATTGCCTTCTTGAAAAAAACAGTTGTTTTAATTGCGCCACTCTTCTTCCAAGAAGGCGATATAACTATAAGATATTATAGTGGCCCTACTACGGTAAAAATTAATACGCCGCCGGTGGCAATGATATTTTCTTAGAAATAAAATTGATTCAGTCTATGAAATCGGAATAAAATTGTTGTTTTCATTTTTGGCGTGGTTATCTCCCTACCTTTTTCGCGTTTTTTTGGTGATATAAATGTCGACCCACTGGTAAACTTGTTGTATTTGTTTTGCCTTATATATGACAATCTGTAATTGCTGCGCCTTATATATTTTGTAATGGAACCGCTTTCTGTCATGTACTTAATGAAATCCCCTAAAAATTTTGTACATTTCTTGTACAACATATAGTTTTTATTCAAAAATAATAATATTCTAGAATTTATAATTTATGTCATAGGTGCCTGTTAAGTAGGCCGTCACCAAAAAACAAAATGTTTGTTTATAACTAATGGTGAGTTACCACTTACAATTAGCAAAACTTACATTCTTTGTATTATAAAATGCCTTATTCTGAAAGACAAGAACAATTAATTTAGGAAACGTTTTTTAAAGCAAATAAGAGGGCTAAATTAGCTCAAAGGGAACTGCGTATAATTAACCCCCGTATTCAAAATTAACGCCTGAAAATTAACGCCCAGACATGGAGATAAATGGGTTGAGTTTGCCATACAATGCTGAAAAAAATTAACGAAAATGTTTTTTGGACCGACGAGTCATCGTTTTCAACCAGTGATAGTATGATAAATCGAAAGAACAGCAGAAAGTGCTGCACTGCTACAGGGAATTTTAATTTCAAGGACGTCAAACTGTAAATGTTTGCTATGCTATTTTGAACAACAGGATAATAGGTCCTCATTTCTTCGACGTTACTTTAAACGGTTATAGTTTTCTTCAGAACGAATTGGAAAACTAAATGCACGAGTTCCCATTGGAACAACTAAGGAACCTCGTCTTTCAACAAGACGGCGCTTGCCCTCGTTGTGTAGTATTTGTTAAAGATTATTTAAATCAAAGGAAACACTAAAATGGCCACCCAACATCATTTTTATGAGAAAACGGACAGCATCTAAAAAACCTGTTTAGAAGAGAAGTTCAAATTCTAAATGAAGAATATTCTCAATCTATCATTGCCGCTTTCGAAAGATTATGGAAAACATACACCAGATGTATTGAAGAAAATGGAGGACGAGTTGATCAATTCTATTTATAAAATTAATTATCTGCATATAGGTTATACCTACATGTTCTGGAATCTTTTGTAATGTTGCTTTTAAGTTGGCAAATATTCAGAAAACTATTGCATATAAGTATAGGATACACGTATTAGCCCTCTTATTTGGTTTATTAAACGTTATCAAAATTAATTGTTTTTTTCTTTCAGAATAAGGTATTTTATATTAAATAGAGTGTGAGTTTTGGTTTGGCGTAGATTATAATGGATATCGTTCCATCTTGAACAAAAGGGAAATTTTTGTTAATAGGGCTTTACTTCCAACAACTCATAATAATAACTCTTTTCCTAGGCAAAACTAGAACAGACACTAGCATCTTCAGTAGCACAGCACCACATCGTCAATAAGCAAAGTGCAGCTGATTTAAATTTTGTTTCGAATTTACAGTAAATGAAATTTTTGTTTTAGTTATTCTGCTAATAATCATCACTAGTTTGCAATATATTGTATGTATGCATGTATACAATACATTGCGTGTATTGTATAATGTACAATGAACAATTTTTATTGCTTTCATTTCCTATTTTGTAAGTAAGCAATCCTCTCAAATCAAGTAATATAAAAGTTACTTTAAAAGAGTAACACTGAAGCATATTTTTTAAAATTTAGTTTATAAGCAAACATTATTTTATTCTTTTCAATTAAAGCCTTATTAATTAATTCATGTATTTAATCATTTTTATATTTCTACATTATGTTCGTTCTTTTAATGTGGCACTATATCTTCTATGAACTTCAAAACCGATTAATGAAACACTTTTAAAACATTCCGAGCATTTCTGCAACGGTATGTTATTTTACTTTTTACAAAACTTCTGGATTGCTCCTGCATCGGTTTTTGCTGACTGTTTCAGTCAATCTCTGAAGAAGCCAACAGGATGATTGGCTAAACGTCAGCAAGTTCGATTCAGCAAAAACCGACGCAGGAGGAATCCAGAAGTTTGGTAAAAAGTATTACAGTAGCCTGTGGAAGTTTTTTTGAAAAAAAAAGTATGTTATTTTAGTCATTTACATTTGAATCGAGATTACAATAAAGAATAGCTAAATTATTGTGTAAATTAATACTAGTAATTAAAGCCCGACGATCCCCTACCTGAAGGGAATCTCAGAAAAGATCAGTCGAATAGCGAAACAATACAAAGGTAAGAGTGTCTAAGGAGCATAATTGCAAGAACAAAGACAGAAATATCGACTCAAGAGAAAAAGTGTATCTACCAAATAACCTGTGAATGTGGTGGTTCGAGGTGGCTAGTAACCATAGGAAACGATACTGACGCGTGTTCAGAATCACAAAAATTCGACCGACTGATTTGCTCATAAGTTATATGTGACAATTAACCTGAAAGAATCAGCCCACCTAACGTTAGTCAAATCAAAACAATTAACTGTCAGATAATCGACAAAATTTATATTTAAACTTGGCGAATTATAACTTCGTTTCGATGATTAGAATCATTTTTCTTCACGGTTCAATGTAGCTTAAAACAGTTGATTCCCTTCTTTAAGTGATGGTTCAAAACTACCTTTGGTTAATTATTAAAACGATTAGTGCTCATTTAAATAATATTAACTTTTTAATGCCTGTTCTTGCACATATTATTAAAGTTTTATAAAGCATTTTAGTAGATAACTCCACCTGACCCTTCATTTACTATTTTTTTGAAGTATGGCGTAATGAACGTCAGCTTGCAAACCGAAGTTCAGTAGTTTTTAATCATGTTTGCAATGCTAGATATGAGGAAGCTAAAAACGTGTTCAAAATCTATGTAGTAGGTTTACTGATAAATAGTCAAATTCAAACCGCACTATGAACGTTTTCGAAGCTCGCCATAACGCTACGTTTTCTTGGGCGATCTTCAAAAAATTTCAATAACTGAAGCAAACAATCGAAACTTTACAAAGTAATCTGCAGGGTTTGTCTTCTTCACTGACCAAATGAAAAAAGCTTTATCCAGCCCCCGAGTATGACATATACTCCAGATGACGCCTTATCCCTTTACGTCGAGGATAGGGGAAAAATTCTTAATATGTTTACACAATCAGAGAAGCTAAAAAGAAATGCTACGCCATAGCAGACGTTGCGGACGAAGTAACGTTACAAGAATTATTGAAGGTCGGAAAGATATAATAGAAGTCCTAAAATTGGCTACTCACAGTCTGTACAGTCTCGGTTCAAGCTACAGTTCTACTAAACCCAGTTCAAGAAAAAAAAATATGTTGGCAACGTTTGTGTATACGTAGTTGTTCTGTTCTATCAAAAATCAGGTTGTTGATTGTTGTTTTGTAGGATTTAAAGCAAATAAATAAGTTTAAATTTTTATGAAATGGCTGAGGTAAAAATGTCAGCAAATTTTACTTCCAAGAAACAGTCAGTATAGCTTTGTATGGTAACGAAGTATAAAGCAGTACTAGAAAAAAAAAGGGATAACAACAAAAATAAGCAAGCATTTTGAACACAAATTGAAAGGGGATTTAGATGTTTAGGGGTGACCTTAAGAAAAAAATTTGGAAACCTAAAAAAGAGAACAAAGAAGAAATTGGCTAATGAAAAGTGTCATGCTTTGGCAACTGGAGGAGGAGCTCCTGAAAAGCCCCTAAAATGGTCGATTTGGATTTGGAGACTAAAGAGATAATGATAAAGCGAATCTATAGACTTTCGAGTTAATTTGAGGGTTATGATTAGCCATTAATTTTTGTTCTTAAAATTATAATTTCAATGAAACGAAGAAAACAGGAGCACAAATACAACACATATGGATCAAGTGGTCAGATAATTAGTAAGTATTTTTTACAAGCTTTGGTCAAAATATTAACTATTACATAACTATTATTATCCTCTACCCTATTACATTAAAATCAAATGAAAATCTTCTACCAAAATAATTATTTATAGAATTACTAACCGAATATAGGAAAGAAACTTTTGTATATGAAGAGTATGAGCAGCCATGCAAGGACAATATTTGTGTGGCAATACTTTGAATTTGAAGTTTGAAAAGTTTGGTGTGAGATTTC